TTTTAGTCAGTGAAAAAGCTGAATAAAACAGACCTTTCCCTGGTCATGCAGAATTAGGGCAGGACACAGGAGGACAAGTCAAACTAGTTGGAAGCAGAGGACTTTCATTTTCCCAAAGAGCCAGACCAGCATGAGAGGTGGCTGGGCAATCTACATAGTAGAACTCAAGGCAATAGCCTAGACAGATCCCCTACCAAATGAGAGGTTAGGAACACTACCTGGGCAGTCCCCATGTGGCCCAGATCTTTGCTCTGATTAGGATGCATCCATGTAAACTTAGGAATATTTAGGAGCCCAAAACTTGTGCTGAGACCCATAGAATTTGATATTGATGAATATGAGTCAGTTCCACATCCAGTGGACAGGGACAATAGAAGTTTCCCTTGCATGACTTGCTCCTCTAAGATTCCCAAGAATGGGGAGGCCTGAGGTTAGAGTCGGGGTTTGTCTGTTACAAGGAATTATGGAAAGCAGGGATTAGATGATTAAAACTGACTCTTAAAATGACTTACAGCCATTATAATATTCACTCCCCAAGTGAGCACAGGTGGGACCCCCAGTTTTCTCACTTTTGGAAATCATGATCCTTCCTATAGCTTCCCTGCTTTTTGGACCACCAGGGATGCAACAGTAAAACCTGAGAGATTTTTGTTATTTGGGCTTATGCACTTTATGAATGTCTCTTGAATTTTTCTTTTTCCCAGAAACAGTAGTTTATACAGATAGCAGCTTTTGGGGATGTTCTTTCAACTTTGTCACTCCTCTAAGTAGGTAACATGTTAATCTGGTGTTGATAGTGTTGGCCATTGAGAGAAACTGACCAGTCCTAATGGAGGCCTGTGTGGGTCTCTGTGGCAGCAACTGTCCACATACTTCTTTCAACATCCACATGGTTCTCCACTTTCCAGCTTTCAGATGCAAAGTCAAAACCAACTTAATATCTGAAGGGAAAATCCCTGGTGATCAACAGCTTGGATATTGTACTCATTGTTTGTTGAAATTTTCCCTGCTATAGTATAAATAAAAGGTATAGACAACATATATCACTTCAGTAGGTAAAGGTGTAAATCTGAATGAAAGAACTTACTGTTTAGGGTTGATTTTTTTTGAGGAGATTTATCTTTTCCCCCAGATATCTATAACCAAAGTAAAGTCTGGACAGATAGGTTTTACTGGGAATTGAAAAGATATCTATAGAGATCTGTTTAGATTTGAGGCATAATGGTCAATAGCATAAAACAATTACCACGTAAAGACCTAAAACACAAATCATAGTGCCTGGAATATTTTTCAAGAGAAAACAAAATTAAAGTATAGAATAAAGCAGTATGAAATAAGATAAATAGACCAAAATCTTATAAATCAGACTTCAGTTTCAATAATCTTGAGAGTATGGCTTAAATAATACTCTTCCATGACACCAATATTATCAGGTAGAGGGAGGGAATGCCTTTTTGAAGTTCCACCTTTTCTGCCTTTGTTCCCAAACTAACTTTTTGTTCAGAAAAATAGAATCTTACTAACTCTTTGCTTTGTCTGCCCTGGAAAAACCGGGAACTGCCAAACCTAGTACCATTAGAAAAATGTGTTAAACCAAAACTCTTAAATTTGAGGGGGTAATCTTCCCCTAATTCATTTAGATGACTTTGCTCATGGCTGTGATATTATAACCAGAGGGGAAGAAGCATTTTTCAATTAAAAAAATAGCTGAGAATTGAAAGATTCATTTTACCATGTGGAACTAAGTAAAGAGACCAGTACATGTTTATTTCAAGCAAAATAACAAGTTGTAAATGAATGCAAATCACTTGAAGGTCTGGGTAAACCGAGGATCATTTAATGTAATAATGTAATAGGATTATGTTTCACAAGTAATATCTGTTGTTAAGTACTGCTGAGAGCCATTGCCAAGTAGGAATGACACATGGCAATTTCTTTGTCAGCCTACCCAATGTTGCTTAGAGGAAGGACTCTCATTATTGGACCCAGGTCATTTGCAGTGACATTGCATGTAAGGTGACCTTGCTCAAGGACCAGGGCGGATCCGGGTTTAGGGC